GGTGGGATGTGGCCAGGGCAGCTCTTATGAGCCTACAAGGAGGAGGTGTCACTTCTCAGTGGTTAGCAGTGGTTAGAGAAGGGGGAAATCATCGTAGGAAACCAGTTGCTGACACCCTCACACACAGTGACCCGCTCCTGACCCATCCCTCGCTGATATGACATGTAATTAGGTCCAGGGAGGGGGAGCTGGGCCCCCCATAGGTGAGAAAGCCCCCCAGCGCACCTCTGCTCTGCCTCACCCTGGGTTTCCTGTCCGGTCTGTGGGTCAGGCTTTGGCCAGGCTGCCGGAAGACTCCGGTGGAAAGTCAGGAGGCCTGTCCTGGTAATGCCACCCACTCTCCGCGTGACGTTGAGCAGACGTTGAGCAGGTCACTGACCGTGTCTGGGCCCCGGTTCCCATTTCTGAGAAAAAGAAAAGCCCTACGAGAGAGTGTGCACGCACATGCTTTGCAGTCACGGCGCGCGAGTAAGGCGTGGTGGAGGGGCCTCGGGCTCCCTGCAGGTGTCGTCTGGCTCTGCTCTCCCACCTTGTCCCTTGGGCCCAACCTGACATCTGCTATCCCTACTGCGTGCTCCTGTGGCCCGTCCCCCTGCCCTTCTCATCCTCAGTCTCTGCTTCCTCCTACTGTGAGGAGGAGGGCACTGCACCGGGGCGCAGCAGGGAGTGGGGGGCCAGGGGTGGGCAGAGCAGTGGACGTAAAATCAAGTCCACTGGGCGGGTTCTGGTTCCTGTCTCAGCCATTAACTCTGCACAGACGGTAGCCGCAGCGCCCCCGGGCACAACTGTGATTACACAAAACCTCTCCACCAGTCCTCATGTCGATCCTCTCTCTCTGTAAGTTCCACCTTTTGTAAAAAAACAAAATTAAATCTTAAAAGTGCTAACATTCACTAAAGAGATGCTAGAACTTTTCATCCGTTTATGTTTATTAAGATCTGTTTATTCAATTACACAAATATTTCTGCAGTGCCCTGAGGCAGCCGGAGTTGAGGACACAGAGACGAAGCCAGGTCTGGGCTCCTGGGACCCGTCCCCCCGCCCCCTCTGAGGGTCCCTGCTCCAGGCTCTCTCTCCACCTCCTTTCTCCTCCCCCCCAGCACCCATGAAACTTCCCAGGGGGGAAGCACATCATTGACCCACCAGGCAGGCCTAGGCGTGACGTCTCTGACCGCCCCCCTGTGACCAAGGGGGCTGGGGTTCATGGTCGGGCCTCAGTGTCTCTGAGCCTGTCACCCACTTTCAGCCTGACTGTCCCTGGAGAGGCGGGCACAGCCAGTCCCCTGCAAAGAAGAGGCAGTGCACAGGAAGGAGACAGAGGGAGGCATCTACTACTTGACCACAGTTTCCTCCTGGCCCTCTCAGCTCCTCCCCCAGGGGTGGGTCATGGCAGGAGGGGACAGCTGGGCACCAGGGAGAGCAATCTCTTCCACAGAGGCCAGGGAGCCATGTGCCAGCCCGCCAGGCCCAGCCACGCCTGAAGCTGGGGGTCCCCACTTCCCTGTACCACAGAATCTCCCTCCAGTCTCCCACCTCCCCGGCCTGTCTCATTTTTCTCCTCGTCCCTTTTTCCCTCTCCCCAGCCTGCCCCCATGTCCCTTCCCACTGGCACACAGGACAAGGGCCCGGCACGGAGAGCACTCCCAGGACTGCTGCTGCTGCTGCTCCCAGGTGAGGGGGGGAAGAGCTGGGCAGAGGAGGGGACGGTGCGGCAGGGACTGTCGGGACAGCAGGGGCAGGGAGCAGGTGGCTGTGTGGCCAGAGGCCTGGTGTGAGGCAGGTTCCACACGTGGCCCTGACCTGGGGCCTTGTTCTCCAGGCTCCTGGGCGTTGCCCAGGGTGCACGAACTTCAAAGCACAGCAGGGCAGCAGCTCTCGGTGAGATGCCAGTACCCGCCCACATCCACGGGCAGGACCTACGAAAAGAAAGGCTGGTGTAAGCAGGTGTCAGCTCTCGTGTGCACCAGGCTGGTCACCAGCTCCAAGCCCTGGACACTGGCTCAGGTCTCCCGATTCTCAATCTGGGACGACCCTGTTGCTGGCTTCTTCATTGTCACCATGACCAGCCTGAGGAAGGAAGACTCAGGACACTACTGGTGTAAAGTCTACCGCGCTTCCGACAACTCTGTCTCCAAGTCCATCAAATTCTACCTGGCGGTGTCTCCAGGTGAGCCCCTTCCCTGAAAGGGGGGATGCCCCTCCCTCCCTCCTGCTGCCTCCATCACCCCCATTTCCTAATCGTGGAAGGCAGTCTCGCCCCACCCCAGTCTCCCAGGAAAGCTGCTGGGAACAGGTGCCCGGGGCACACAGATGCACACCTGCAGCCACCCACCCTGTCTGCCTCCATGGTCCACAAGCCCGCAGCCAGTGGGCTCCCCAGAGATGCTCAAACAGGGGAAGCACATCAGTTGAGCATGCTGACTGGTCACGTCCATATGACCCCGCCACATGAGGGCCCAAGACTGCCCGGCATCTTTGGCACACAGCAGGTGCTCAGTAAATGTGTATCCGCTGGTTGCAAACCCACCCCCCCTCCCTGGGACTCACATGGGCTCGTTGGTATCTGGGTGGGGACCCGCTCATCCCTTCTGGTCCAGACCAGGGGTCAGCTAACTGTGGCCTGACAGCTAAGAATGGTTTTTATGTGGTTGGGAAAAAAAAAAAAAAAACTCAAAAGAAAAATAATACTTTGTGACATATGAAAATTATATAAGAAATTCAATTTTTAATGCCAAGCGAAGTTGTTTTGGAACACAGCTGTGCCCGTATGTGCCTGCTGAGGGTGGCCCTTCTCGTGCTACAAGAGCAGAGTTAAATGGTTGTAACAGAGGCTGCATGGCCCACAAAGCCCAAAATATTTACCCCTGACTCTTTACAGAAGGTTTGCTAACCTCTAGCCTAGAGCAGAGCTTCTCGAAGAATCCGTGGTGGAAGACATTTTTTTTTAAAAATCTGCAATTCATAAGTGGCTACTTTTTTGGTAAAATACAGTAAAAACAAATTACTAGAAAAATAAAATGAGATGAAAGAAAAACACAGAGTAAAGCCCAAAATGTTTATTAGACTTGACAGATATAAAACCTCATTTCAACAAATATAATCAGGATAAATATAACATAGGGAAAAACTTAAAACTACAAAGACAGTAGACATCGATCATTTGAAAGTATGATTAATATAGTGGCTTAACATTATACCCATAATGTTTTATTGTTCCCCAGTCATAACTAAACACAAAGTTAAAAGGGAAATAGCAATTCTCCATATTAAATGCCAATATGCACATTTTGAACAAACGCTCTGCATATCCATATTTAATGATTTTAATGTGACAAATGAGTACTCTTCTTACTTGTTAACTTGCCTAATCTGAGTACTATTTATGGCACCATATCTCTTAAGAGAAAATGGATGAAGAAATTGTATTGATGCCTTTTTTTAAAATAACACTCAGAGTGGAAAACTGGTCTCACAGAAGTATGTTTATAGGAATTGAAGGAATTTTAAAGTAATTTCAACAATATTATTATTTCTAACTTTTACAAAAGGAAGCACATGAGGCTGTATTTTCAAAATGCATCTTCAATCCTTCATTGGTAGCCAGTTCCAAAGTTTTATCCTATAAAGTTATAGTTTAATTTAAATTATCTTTTGATGGGAAAAATGGATTCTGGATCTATTATATTAATTTCCTCTGCATACTCTTGTTTTGACAAAAAACAAAATTTAAAACATTGTATGAAGCAATTAAGGTTTCTCCATGAACACTTGATATGCAATATCAAGGTCATCTATTTTGTTGATAATTGTTATTAAGAACATGTCATAACAATTCATAGAAACTATTCTAGGTGTCTTTCACTTTTGCACTTAGATTTTATTTGCCATTGAAAACCATGTTGCATTCCTTCCTTGCATGGAAATATGAACATCAAAACTGTCATATAAACAAGTCTGATTGTGCAATTCACATCTCTAAAAAAGTCTGTTCTAAACTGGTTTCTTGTCTTGTGGAAACGTTAGGAGTTCTTTCCACTGATCAAACATTCTCAACAGAACTTTCCCCCTTGTAAATTGCTATGCACTAATGGCTGGCTACGATGATAATAAAGAGAATGATTTTAGATTTCATACATTCACCTTTTGTAATTCACAATTTTTTCCATGTTGGTCAGCACACACTGTTCAGTTCGGCTGATACTGTTTTCATAGCAAAATTGTCTCAATGAAGGAAGCAGTGCATTGATTTACAATGTAGCCCAAGGTCTCTTAATCTGGGTCACTATTCCAGAATGTTTTCCTGTCATAGCAACTTCATCCATCAGATAGATTATACTCCTACATAAAACTTAACCCAAATCATACTTTGATAATGTAATCTTTCATTGTTTTATCCAGTTCAGAGCTAGTTGCGTTTTCGGCAATGAAACTAAAAGATATAGAATTCCTTCATATCACTGTGTTCAAATTGCACATATAGTAAGACAATAGCTATGCTAACAATATTTGTGCATTTTTTTTTCCAATTGCCGTGAAAAATACTTTGCAAGCTTTATATGTTCTAAGAGGTGGTCTCTCATGTCATTATCCATTTCCTGAAATATTTCAACCTAAGGTGTCAATGAAAAGTGATATTTAAGCTTCCTTCTTTGCTGTAAATTAACCCAATATTGTGAACTGAAGGTCTCCATAGCAGTCTTTCAACATTTTGGCAATTGTAGATGGATTGTAAGTCTTTGCAATACAAAGTGTTACTTCACAAGAAACCCGCTAAAGTCGTGTTTATAAGTGGAATGCTGATTGTTTTCAAAAGCTTCTTAATCCAATACTCTTTTTTACCTGGGGAAAAAAATACTTTCTTTTGAACTTGTGTATTTATGTTGTATTATGTGTATTTATGCACATGTCACTTGTTTTTTTGTTTGTTTGTTTGTTTTGAGATAGAGTCTCACTCTGTTGCCCGGGGCTAGCTCACAGCAACCTCCAACTCCTGGGCTCAAGTGATCCTTCTGCCTCAGCCTCCCGAATAGCTGGGACTACAGGCATGTGCCACCATGCCCGGCTAATTTTTTCTCTATATACTTTTAGTTGGCCAATTAATTTCTTTCTATTTTTAGTAGAGACGGGGGTCTCGCTCTTGCTCAAGCTGGTTTTGAACTCTTGACCTTGAGCTATCCACCCGCCTCGGCCTCCCAGAGTGCTAGGATTACAGGCGTGAGCCACTGCGCCCGGCCTATGTCACTTGTTTTTATGGTGTATTTGCTTCATTTCAACAAATACATTTCAACAAATAACTCACTAGGTTTTAATACTTTACTGCTAACTACAAAACTCACACTACACAAGAACAATAGTTCCCTGTTGCTGCCATAACAAATTACCACAAATTTAGGTGCTCAAAACAACTCAAATTTATTATCTTACAGCTCCATAGCTTGGGAGTCCAGTGCATGTCTCACGAGACTGAAATTAAGGTGTCAGCAGGTTGGGTTCCTTTCTGGAGGCTCTAGGAGAGAATCTGTTTTCTGCTCATTCAGATCCTTGGCAGAATTCAGTTTCCTGCAGCTGTAAGTTTTCTTGCTGGCTGTATCCTGAGACTGCCCCCAGATTCCAGAGGCCACCGGATTCCTTAGCTAGTGGACTCCTTCCTTCGTCCCTCTCACATTGCTTCTGCCTCTGAGAATAGCGAGGAAACGGTCTCTGCTTTTACAGACTCGTACCATTAAATTGCCCTGGGTAATCCAAGATCCCTTCCCCAGCTCGAGGTCTTTAACTTTCATCACATCTGAAAAGTCCCTTTTGCCATAGAAGGTGACATATTCACAGGTCCCTGGGGTTCCAGGAGTGAACATTTTGGGGATACCATTATTCTACCTGCCACAGTGAGACATTCTATTTCCAAACAAAGCCAGTGCAAACTCTTTGGAATAATCTCAGAAGGAAAAAATTTCTTTGACACCAATTCTACCATCTTCATTTGGTTTACTATTACTGCCCCATTAAAAAAAAGAACTGTCTTTTCTTGACAAAAACTTTTGCTATCTGATAATTAGAATTCTAATTAGGTAATCACAGCTCTACCATAAATTAGCTAATCAGGTTAAAGCTCTAAATTTAAAAAATACATATTAAATCAAAAATGAAAATCATTTAAAAATAACAATTATAAAAAAATAAATATTTTTTTTCAGGTGTTTTTATACTTTTGGGTAATAGCTAACAACTAACCTTAAAGTGTCACACTCTGTAACCTGGTCCTCGTGTGTTACTGGCTCACTCTACTTTCTACTGCCCACACCAGTTTGACAGCTCCCAAGCTGGCCCGTACCCTGTTCAAGGAGACGAGAAGAGTTTCCTAACCACATGCTTGGATGCTGAGGCAATATCAAAGTGACATAAAAGTTTTGCAATCCTTACTCCCAGTTTTTAAACCTACCTTGTTGTGGGCGGGTTACAAACAGGTCATGGACCAGCACCCGCCCGTAGGTCACACATTCACAAGCACAGGTCTAGAATTTTCCCAGTGTGTCCCAAACACCTCCTCCAGGCTGGGCACAGGGTTGTTCCTGGCCAGTATCCCAGGTTGCCTCAGAGAGAGCGCCCCTGTGGGACTGCATCGTGTCCACGTGTCCATGGGCCTGAGGCCCTGTCCAGGGAAGGCCTTCCAGCGCAGTCCCTGGGATGGGGGATGTCCCAGCCCCTGGCACCCTCTCCTCCAGCCCTCCCAGCCCTTGCCCTCTTCCCCCCCCCCACATGCCTTCCTGGAGGCTCCTCCCCTCCAGGACAGAGTTGGGGACATAGACTCAGTCGAGGACATGGACAGTCACCACTTGCTCTCACAGCCTTGGGGCCGACCCCACTTTCATCCCCTTCTGGGCCCCCCACCCACCCACAGCAGCCATTGTCTTTTTGACCCTGGTGGCCCCCACCACTTTTCCAGAGACCCCCACCCCTCCCCCCATAAGGGCTCAGAGCACAGGTAGGTCTGGGCCTTCCTGGGAAGGTGAACAGTGGGAGTGGCGTGCAGGTGGCTTACAACGTCTCAGAGTCAGGAGGGGCCATGCAAGGCACTCCCAGGTGGTGGGGGTGTGGGGTCAGGGCTGTGCCACAGGGCCAGAGGGACAGGGATGTGACAGCAGCCCTTCACATTCCCCACAAGTGGCTCCTTTCCCCAAACAGAGGAGGGAGGACAAGAATGGAGGTGAAAGAAGAAAGGGCCCTAAGGATGGTGGCTGTCCCCACCCTTGAGGGGGCCGAGGCAGACGCTGCCCAGAGGTGCAGGGGGTGGGAGGGGGCGAGGCCTCCTGGAGCCTCTGCCAGTGCTCCTCCTGGGCACCCCGCAGAGCCCAGGCCACAGCTCTGTCTGAGCCAGGGACTTCGTAACACAGTCCCCACCCTCCCAAATCAGTTTTCTCCTTCTGGGCCAAGGGGCACTGTTCCCAGTCTGGCCCAGCTCGCAGACCCGGCTTTCCCGCTGGCAGGCTTTCCCACCCACTAACCCACTGTCCTTTCTCTTCCCCGGCAGCCCCTGCCTCCACGCAGGCCACCTGGGCTTCCCCCGACCTGGTCTCATCACAGACCCAGAGCTGTGTGTCCCCAGCTGGAAGAGCCACAGAGACCCTTGGGGCTCCATCTGCCACCACTGCCCCTCCACAGTGAGTTCAGGGTGGGACCCGCAGCCTCCCAGGCCTGGGCAAGGGACCGCAGAGGAGACCGCCCGCCCAACCTGTCCTCTCTGCCCTCCAGGCCACGCAACTCCACGCCCCACCTCGGCCTCCTCGCAGTCCCCCGGGCCCTGGTCCCTGCGCTCTGTGGACTCCTTGCAGCCAAGAGCCTGCTGCTGCCCGCCCTGCTGCTCTGGTGAGTGGGCGCGGGTGGGGCCGGGGCGATGGAGCAGGGTGGGGGGGGAGTCGGCCGGAGAACAGAGTGGGAAAACTAAACTACCCGCACAGCTCCCCAAATTAAAGCCTCACAGAGTCCGCCCATCTGACTCGCTCACGTGGACGGTACAGGTCTGCCTTTGCTCCACAGCTGCAAACTTGCAGGAATCTCATCCACATTTCTGTTTTCTCCTCTCTGTCTGCCTGTCTTTCTCTCCCCCAACCCCCATCTCTTCTCTCCCTCCCGCCCCATCAGCAACACTGACCTGCACAACCGGAAACGCCCTGCCCCTCCTGCCCCCCAGCAACCCAAGTCCCAGGACTCGCCTGGCTCTGGTCCTGAGGGAGAGAAGGGGGACACAGGAGGGGAAGCGCCACCAGCTCTGGGGAGAAGGGGACACATGGGGGTGGAAACCTAGGTGGCGCTGGTGAAAGTTGCAGGGACAACCGGCAGTGAGGAGGGTGGGAAACAGAGTCAGGGCCGGCCAGGAGCAGACTTGCTGGAGAAGGGGCAGGCTGTGGGGTTCGGGTTCGAGCCCCTTCCTGTGTTTCTTCCCTCTCCTCACATCGCAGGGCCTTGAGGAACCGACAGGTGCGGCAGCATCGAGGGCAGTCTCTGCTGGGCTCGCTAGCTCAGCACAGGCCCTCGGCCCACAGGCGCTTCCCATGGAGCCGCGGGACCCCAGGTGGGTGGCCAGTCTCCCCCAAGCCCAGATGCCCAGGAGCTCCTCCCTGACCTCTGGGCTCTGCCCTCCCTGCAAAGAAAAGGCCAGAACTTGACCCCCAGCCCTTGGCTCCCCCTCCCTCCAGAGCAGAGGGCTCCTCCCAGACCCCCCCCCAGCTCAGCACAGCGGGATGGGCCAGGCCGTCCTGTTATGGGTTATGGGAGCAAAGCCTGGGCAACATCTTCCCACCAAACCAGGGGCGGAGCCAGGAATGACAATTCCTCCTCTCCTCCTCCTACTGTCTATAGCCCCTGATGAAAGAAAAACCCTAGACGGGATAAATTTACACAAGTTTATTTGAGCAAAGAACAATTGGTGGATCAGACAGCCGTCAGAACCGGAAGAGGTTTGGAGAACCCCGCTCTGCGACCTGGGCAGTGTTTAGCGACAGAACACGACTGAAGAGAGCAGAAACAAGGACAAAAAGTGGGTTCCTTGTAAAGGTTAAAGCAGAGGGGAACTTCCTTGTCATACCAGCTAAAAGTGGCCTGTTTGGGGATTTGCCTATTCATTCACCCGCCCCAATTTATTGGAAGGTCAGATAAACAACCTGGTTTTAGCCTGGTGGCACTGTGGAACTTCAGCACGTGTGACTCCTTTTTGGTCTGGTCTGCTGGGCCTAGCATGGGGGCTCAGAATAAACCATGACCTCCTGTGACTTATATCTAACACCCCGGCCGGACACCTAGGCTGCCCAGCATTCCACCCCTCCCACCACCACCACCACCCCCAACCCCGTCTCCCCCTGCTCAGCCACACTCTGCCAGGGCCGCTGTGTTGCTCGGTTGCTCGGCCTCCTCCCACCTTCCAAATCCCTCCACCTGGCACCAGCGCCCAGACACCTGACTGGTGTCCTGTCCTTGGACCCCCTGCTGGCTGGTTCCCCTGGTATGACCCTCCCCAGCATGTACCTCTGTGCATTTCTACCACCTGGGAATTGAAGTCCTGTGTCACTGCCGGGCCCCTCGCCCTGCTGGCACTGCACACCCCTGTGCTATCCTTCTTACCACCGCCAGTGTGGCTGCAGGATCAGAAAGGAGCGAACCTTCCTTTTCTCTGCACCAGCCGGGCAGGGGGTTGCTCAGCACCCAGCACCTGAGGTCATGCTGCGTCCTACCCCAGGCCTGTCACCCCCACGGGGCTGGTCTCTCTCTCTGACACCTGCTGTCCCGATCTCAGACCTTCCGGACTGAGCCTCTAATTTTATTATCTTTTCTCTCCTGTTCATCCTCCATTTTCCTTTATTCCTGCCTTCTGGAAAAGTTCCTCTAGGGTTACATTCTCTCCAAATGTTTACAGTTTATACTATCACATTTTTTCATTTCTAAACGGCCCATTTGTTCTGCGAATATTCCTTTTTATAGCACAGCATGTTTTATTTTGGCGTGCCATATTGTCTCTGGAAATATTAAAGTTTTAACTCTTGAACGTTGTTTAAGCTTTGTGTATTTTCTGTTTCCTCTGAGTGCCTGCTGTGTCTTTTGTTTCCTTTTTCCGTGGGCCTCTGTCCTTCCTCGGAGCTTTCTGGAAGCCTCCGCTGCAGCCCATGGCCTTGCAGAGCTCAGATGCTGCATGTGAGCCGTGGCGTCTGGGGGCCCCGCACAGATTGGGCGGCAGCTTGGGCCATTTTTTCTCTCTGACAGCTCAGTTTCTCCAGAAAGGACTCTTGCCTGTCCTCCTTGGGGGTGTAAGCCTGGCACCAACTGCCGCAGAGCGAGGGGTCCTCCCTGCCCCGTGTCTGCTCCCACTCAGCTCCCATCACACTCTCTCTCCACGTGCCTGGCGCCCCAGCGGAGCACCTCTGTGACTCCCCGTCACCGGAGACTGACCTCAAGTTCCCTGCGGGGTAGTGAGCGAAAGGGAGGAGAGGAAGTGGGTGGCTGACCTACTCTCACTGTCACGGGAGGCAGAGGACCTAGAGTCCCACTAATTCTTAAAACAGACCTCCAACCCATCGCGTGGTCTCCAGCACCCGCCTCCACTCTGCCTGCGGAGACACCCATGCCTCTGACTGCTAAGCCGGTCTGGGTGTCTCAGGTAAAACTGACCTGCTGCCTCTCCTCCCATCCCCACCAGCCCCCCCTGCTCTGTGGAGTCATCTGGCTGTCACTCAGCGTCAGAACTTGCATGGAGCTCTCCTTTCATCCTCAGATGGATTTGCACAAATTGTATCCATTTGCAGCCCCGCCCCTCACCCAGCTTGCACTCCACTTAGCAGGAGTGAGGGGGGACCCCAGATTTTCCATCAGACGCTCCTACCCAGGAGCGAGCGCGATCCCAGACCTCCACCCGCTCCTGTGCAGACGCCTGTCTCCCGCTGTCCCCCACGGCCAGCCGCTTCATGCCTTCACTCCATCCCTGTTCACTCCAGTCACCACGAGAAGCCCAGGGTGCCCCTGTTCTCGTCGCCCCAGAATCCCATCTCAATAAAACCTTATTTGAAATCCATTACATTAGCCCCTGTTCCCACGCTTCACCAAATCCATCAACCTTTCGGCCCTGCCGTCTGAAATGCACAGCCCTGAGCACAAGCCCTATCTGCTCCGCCTCTCTGGACGCCACCGTCTCTCTCCCTGAAACCTGCCTCTGCTCTGAGGACGCTGCTTTCCCCGCAGTTCTCTTGGGGGCGGATGGTGGCTTATTGCTGTCCTTTGCCTCGTGACACTGGGCCTGGGGGTGGGGCTGGCGTCCTCTGTGCTCCTCTGTGGTCCTCTGGCCCTTCCTACCTTCCCGCCTTCCCAAAACCACCCAGCAGCTGATTCGCTGCCATTAGACTCCTCCACCGTTGTCAACAACTTGTCCTGGTTACATGGCCTGCGGTCCTCCTCTTCACTCCCTGTGAATCTTAATCCTTGGCTCAGCGCCACTCTCGCTGCTCCTGCCACACGTCCTTGGCGACCCTGGGCCCATGCAGACTCACGGATGAGGCTTCCCAATCCCTGGCCTCTCGGGTGACTGAGGGATAAATGTCTTCAAGCGTCTTGGAAGCCCTAATGTTTGACTGAAAAGACCTGGGAAGCACATACCTTAGACCCATTCAAGAGCCGTTTGTCTGAGACACGATGGTGAAATAATAACAAATATATATGCTGGCTTTTGACCCTGGCTCCTGACACAGAGCTTCTAAGACCCTTGTAAATAGCGGTGCTAAGGGGACCTTTCGTCCTAATAGTTGGTCTTTGACTCTGGTTCCTGACATGCAACTCCTAATCCCTTGGAATTTCCTGGATGATAGGAGCATCTTTGGTTGTAACAAGGCAATGTTTGGCGGGCTCTTTGATGGGGACTGGCCACAAGAAAGATCAAACCGTGATTAGAAGCTTGGAACTTCCAGCCCCACTGCCCACCCTGCAGGGAGGGGAGAGGGGCTGGAGGTAGAGTTAGTCACCAATCATGTCTACATGGCGAAGCCACTGTAAACACCCCCAAGCAAGGTTCCGAGGGGCTTCTGGGTGGGTGAACATCACCACGAGCTGGGAGGGTGGTGCACCCCAACTCCACGGAGACAGAAGCTCTTGCATGCGGGACTCTTCCAGAACCCATCCTATGTGTCTCTTCACCTGGATGTTCATCTTAATCCTTTAGCACATCCTTTTTTACATTATAATAAGCATGAGACATAAGTAAGCATTTCCCTGAGTTCTGCGAGTCATCCTAGAAAATTACAAAACCTGAGACAGGGTTCACAGCAACCTGATTTTTAGTTAGTCAGTCAGAAGTGCAGATGACAACCTGGGGCTTGCCATTGGCATCTAAAGGGGGGCAGACTCGTGGGACTGAGCCCTCAACCTGAAGGGTCTGTGCTAACCCTGGTTAGTGCCAGAAACAAACTGAATTATAGGACGTCCAGTTGGTGTCTGCAGAGAAAGGGAGAATTTCTTGGAGGGGAGGGGTGCACTCACACATCTGGTCACAGAAGTGTCCTGTGTTGAGAATATGGTGGAAGAAAACAATGTGCTTTTTCATGCTATACACATTACCTTTGATCTTTCTGAGGTCTTAAGAGATTTTACAGTCATACTTTTGGTTTCGTCTTTAGATTACATATTCCTGCAAGTGCCTGGATTTTATTTTAGCATCATTTATTGTCTGCAGGCTGAGAGTTTTAAAGTCAAGACTCAGCTCCTTCACGTTGAATAGTCCTGACTATAATTTATCTCTCTTCTCTCTCCTTTGGCAATGAGTCACAAGGAGAAACCAGGTAGCACCTTCAACGCTTTGCCTGGAAATCTTAGCTGTGCAACCCAGTTCATTAGGCACATGCTCTACTTTTCACATCACTGCAGGCAGCAGCGTTGCTTTTGCCATTGCAAAACAAAGAATGCCTTTCCTTCTTGCCTACTGAGAGACCCTAGGGACGGCGCTTAAGGTCTCTACCCCTAGTCTCTTCACTGGTAAACACAGAACTGGCAATCCCCACGTTACAGAGCCATTTGGGTTTCCAAGCAAGATGATACACCAGACATATGAAGGAAAAAGTGAAAAACACTGAGCTTTGGAGGGAGTCAGCTGTGACGCAGCAGAGACACCCAAAGCGGGGAAGACAGGTAACAATGTGCGAGTAGAGGGTGAACTCGAGTCCTTATAGCTTCCTCTTCTCAGTGTCCAGCAGAGAGAAAAAAAGAAAAAATCAGGATGAGGAAACTGACCGAGCTGGGCCCCAAACACATGCATACTCACTGCCACCTCTCCGGCCAGCAGTGGTCAGGAGCAGCCTTCCTCTCCTTGTCAGGACGGTGTGGCCACCAACCCCACGTGTCATGGGGCCAGGACGGGGTCACCTCTGCATCTGGCATGCAATCCTTGGCGATCCCTGACCATCTTCCTGGTGTCCCGTTCTGATTGCAGATGGGACACACGGTGGAAAAGTCTGATGGAGATCAGGAGCCTGGGTCCCAGCAAAGCCACCCGTCACTGTCAACATGTCACTGACTTTTTTGAGACCTCAGTTTCCTCACCTATAGGGAGATAAATATTACCACCACACTGAACACACTTTGTAAATAATAAAACTATATGGTGAATGTTTCATTCCTGTTGTTTCTAAGTTTCCTTCCAGCTCTGAGGCTCCGTCCTGCATCCCACACTTGGTCCCTAGGGGACCAGCTTCTCTGCCCTGGCGTCTTTTCTCCACCCTCACCCTTTCCCATCCTCAGTTCTCTCGATGGCCCCTGGAAGTCCGGGAGCCCATAGATGCTGCAGGGACGGGCGCCGCACAAGAGCCCAGGGAGCAGAGGGGCCAGGGTGGGCGAGGCTTGGGAACAAGACCTGGATTTGCTCTCTCAGCTCAGCCACGTGTGAGCCTGGGCAGGTCACTGCCCCTCTCTGAACCTCTGGCTCCTTCTCTGGAAAACGAAGGGGGTGGAGGTGAGTTCTGCCACCCCTTCCACATGGGAGCAAGTCAGTGAGCACAGACCAAACACTTCCCCGTGCCCAGCTCAGGGCTACCAGGCACCCAGCACCACAGGACACAAGTACAAGGAGCCAGCCCCGAACACAGCTGCAAGTCCGTGGGTGGAGAGGCCCTGGGGAAGATTCCAGCACAGGCTGAGGGAAGGGGACAGGGAGGGGGGCAGAACTGGCAAGGAGGTGGCCAGTGAGGGACAGAAGAACAGGACACCCTCGGGCACCAGACAGTGGGGGAAGGAGCCTAGCAAGGATGAGGAACTGTGCTATGAGGTCACATTAGTCAGGACGCCA